TTACCGATTACCGTTCAGCCACATTATACTAATAAAACCAAAGATAGTGGAACATGCTTAGTATTCAGTTCTATCGTCACTAAACCTTAACAAGTGAGACGCGCAGCTACAGCATTTGAATTTATTATTATTATACATTGTAACACTTACTAAGTTACTACTAACTAGTAACTTAGTACTAGACTAGTTAAGTTTAGCAGGCGAATCAGTAATCAATGAATTCAAGAATTAATTCTGACCTGAATCGGATCCACTTCTGTCCACTGGTCCACTGCAGCTGGCACTGTCGGCCCATCAGATCCCTGAGCAGATACAATAATAGTTAGTAATGACACAAAGGATATTTGGCAGTGTGATTCTGATTGATTAACATAACAGTAGTGACAAGAGAGTCTCATTCGGAATTCATAAGCACAAGCCTCCAGTTTAAATTGAATCGGAAACCCCCGACCTGAGGCACTACAGTCTGCGGAAGGCTTTGCTGGCGAAGGCTCCTGGCTCGAAGCTGCACCCTTGCTATCTTGCTGCTTGGGACATGGTGTCCTGGCTTAGAATCTAGTCTTAGACGAATCTTAGAAGACTTTAAGATGAAGTTATACGAGACTGTCATTGACAATAGATAATAGATTCAGTCGTAGTTATTATTAGTTATTCTTAACATAATGTAATAATAATAATATATTTATTAATATGTCTACTCCAAAGTTTAAATAAAGATTGAAGCGTGTCAGAGTTCAGAGAGCATTCAATTGATGGAGCTCGTCCTTAGCCTAGGTTTTCGATTCGACAGGCAGCCAGGCCAGGCAGGCCGGAACTACAGTTGTCGTCATGAAATATATTATAATATTATAAAATTATTATTAACTAATTTAAATGTATTTAATACTTAATTCAATTGTCAATTGCCAGTTCAATGCCAACAAAATTTTTACAGGCCAATGCCATAAATTTTATAAGTTAACCAGTTAGATGCCACGACCATCCACGTGAGCAGTAGTCCCAGTGCCTTCAGTGATCGGTGTCCTGGGTCCTGAAAGTCGTGTACTAATACTAAGCTGCTCAGACGACTAACTAGACTAGTACAGTACAAGTTCTTAGACAGGGATTTTTTAAAATTTTAGTCGTCTGACTTTTTGATTTAACACATTGAGCTCGGGGTTTGAGTCAAAACCGGAAACGATATTTACACAATACTACAAACATACAATTAAATTTTACTAATTACTTACCAGCCATTTATTTAATAATAATAAAGCGACCGAGGCGGTCTACCTGGTCGTCGCCCGAAAAGCATTTCGAGACCATGCTCAGCTTCATGCCGCTCTGGCTGAATCAGAATATCAATAATAGATGAGATAGACCGATTCAAATCAAAACAGTTGATGATGAGGCTCAGTCTGTCTGTCATAGCTAGTAGTTGTTGTAGTCTCACATATGACTCATGGCAGTAGCCTGCACATTATAATAGTAAATTACAAATGCTGTTAAGTAATAATCATTCGTGGCTTCGTCCATTGAATTCCTGGACTTGAGTCATTGAGTGAGGTCTCCTTCGACGGCACCTCATTGCAGAAGGTTTCGATCGAAGGTTACAAGTTCTACAGTACCTCAACTGCAAATGCAAGGTGCGGCTTTGACATTATGTGAGTGAGTTGTCAGTATTATTATTAATTATTCTTATAATTGAGACTTTCAGAATCAGAATCTCGGAAGGCAGGACACACAGTCCAGTGACAATCCACTGCCACACACAGTTCACTGATTCACAGCCAGAGACAGAGTCACAAGCTCAAGTTTGTGATAGACTGTGACAGTAAGTAGTACAGTAGCTGCATTAATAGGTCCGGTCATTCTATCATACAGAGTTAGCAGTGGGTCTCATCCTGAAATGTCAGAAATTTAACCAGCCGTGACATTCATATGAAAATGCAATCGACTGAGCCAGTAGATAGTCGCTTAGCCGTAAGTAAGTTGTGTCAGTAGGTAGGCCAAGCATGCAACCGCTAATATTGGAATCAAACCCAAATCGTTGAATCCGATGAAGTCGGGTCACTGTTTTATTTTATGACGTTCTCGATCACACTGTCACACGAGTCAGTCAGACAGACTCAGCCAAGGCCGTGGTGCAAGGCTGGGAGCCTACGGCCCACCACTTGCATCTCGATCTGCACCAAATTAAACTCGCCGTGCTATTAACTATAATTAATAATTAAGCTGCACTGTTACTGAGTGAGATTCTGATGAACATGTGTCTGTAGCATGGACTCCTCGTCCCCGAACCTTCGGTGACATCTTGACATTCGCTTGCACATCATTTTTTTGCAGCTGCGAACTCAGCAGTGCTTCTGACTGTCGCCGCCAGTCCAGTGTTGCAGCCCCGCGCTGCGCTGCAGAGTAGGCAGCCTCCAGGCTGAGAGTCTAGCTAGGTCTTACCAACTAAATATTAAGTAGAAATGTAATATACATCCTGGACAGCTCAGCTTCAATAGCCTGCATCGTCGTCCGGTCAGTAATTTGTATACTAAGTCAGCAGACTCGGCTTGTCATAGATGAAAGAATTCAAACTACACCATCATTCAATTAAGTACCCTTCGATATCTCATTAAATTATGCCCACTATTCACGGATTCGAGGCCCTGTCTGTCTGTCGGTCGGTAGAAAAGTTAAACATCAGAGTCCTAATAAATACGATCGCCATGAGTTCGATGATTCCGAATGCCACAAAGCGTGGACGGGAGCCGGGTCTGGACTGTCACTGTGAAGACTCTGGTGTTTTTGGCCTTGACCTGTTTCATTTTGACTCTGATGCTGGCCGAGAAGCATCGCCATCGGCTGAGCAAGCCGCCACAGGCACGCCGCCTCAGGATGAGCTCAGGACGTCAGTGCATGATGATAATGCTTCATCATCTGCTTCAGACAGAAGCTCGATTCCTTTGACCCAAAGCTCAGCATTGGGGATGGTTTCTTGGCTACAGTCGTCTATTAAATTAAATGTATTAGTGATGTAAGCCTTAGTCATTAGTTGGGCACGGGTCTGCCAACATACGCAGAATCTGACTAAGGAGCTCACAATTTAAACTAAAATAGTTAGTACTCTGTAATTATCCGTTCATTATTCAGATTCATTGATTGATGACATAAGCATGACATATAATATATGAACTTAGTTTTGACGTCAACCGTGATTCATAATTCTATCGGATCGAGTGAGAGATCCTATGAATGAGACACAGCTACAGTACACAATTATGATTATAACTACTAATACTAACACCCCCCCCCCCTGCCCAGGGTTTTAATCCGTAGCCCGGGCTGCCAAAGGAACATTCTTGGACGAGTCTGGAGACTGCTGCCAGCGGCATCAACACTGCATGGAGCACAGCTTCGAAACTTCTGCAGGAGAAGACGATGCAGGCAACACGGCTCAAGTGTTATTGTTGACAGCTACTGTAAGTTAGGCTGCCCAGGCTGAAGGCTTTGGATTTGGGTTATTTCAAGAATTGTGGAAAGCGGACATCGGGAAGTTGGAAACTTGCACATCCTCGACTCGAGCGACTTGTGTTTGAAAGAATGCCAGCTAATGCTACGTGATGCATGCCAGCCAGGACTCCTGGCTTCGGCATGCGTCGTCGGCGACGAGCTTCTGCTCAGGCTGCGGAACGGCTGAGATGTCCAGGGCAGTCCTGGAGCGGGACATCAATGCCTCTGGGAACGTGCCTTTTCACGTGTCGATTCCGACCGTCGGACTATGGGAGTCTCTGCTGTGAGGTTTTAATTTAATTCAGGGATAGTTAGTCCAGTCGAGTTCGCTGGAATGACTGTTCCCTAGAATAGAGTGAGGAGCCTGAGCTGAGCTGTAGACTAAGACTTAAGAGTGTAACTGTCTGAATTTAAATTTTAGGTGCTTGCATATGACATTATTATTGTGATACTGAGACCTCAAGTTCAATTCAGAATTCAATGAATCAAGCAGCACTCGAGACTGGTACCCAATGATAAAGCAGTGTGTCACGGGTCTAGTTTGACTTTAGGCTTTTCATATATTTCATAAATTTAAGGTTTGAGTTTAATAATATATTAACATTATTATACTAAAACATTATTATGCTGCAGGTGTGAGTGACTGTTAATATTAATTAAAGGCTATTAGTTTTGGGAGTTGGGGTTATTAAAATTAAATTAAAGGGTTGGGGCTGGGCTTTAATTTAATATTGAATTGAAGGCCCTTGTTATTGTTATTGTTACCTGGATTTTTGGATAATAGGCCTATTACAATTTAACTTTAGATATAATTCAACAGTAGTAATCACTGTAGGCTTTCCATTTCATTTCACAGTAACAGTTAACAGTGTAACGGGTTGGGATTAAATTTAATCTAGGGCTTGGGGCTGGTTTATTTAAATTATAAATTAAATTAGGCCTGTGACAATTTATTTTATTTGACAATAATAATAAATAATACAATAATTCAGTTCATGCTTAATAAATAAAGAACCTTGACAGACATTCTGCCCTCATTATGTGTCGATGATAAGGTCGATGCCCCTGCCGACAATGACAGACTAGCTATAATTGAAAAGTAAATTATTAAATATATAAGCAGCATTTAACCTAAATTTAACAGGACAGGCAGAACCGGAGCCCTACCGTTGACATGTCTGATTCTGATTAACACCACAGTCATTGAATTGAGTCATAGACCCCCATATCTCAAGGTAGTGAGTCGACTGACTTCTGAATCACGTCACGAAGGGTGTGGTAGTGACAAGTGAGGTGACTGTGTTGACTTAAACCCTACCGCTAATATTTAGTACACACAGCCCCTAAATTTAAAGGTCGGTGTAACTAGCCGATAGGAATCAGGAAAGATGGCGCACACCTTGACTAAGCTGATTCATATCTGAGATAGGGATTGATGATAGTATGAGTCTGATTATCATTGTATAAAAAAAATCGCTCAGGAATACAGCGAGTCCTGCCAACAGCTGCTTGTCGAGTCTATGCGCTGGTGTCAGAAAGTGGCTGGGCACGGAGCCGAGCCATTCATATTCGGAGACATTACACGTCTGCTTGGAGATTCTTGGTACACTGCAAGCATGACATATTCCCAGCGCCTACAGGCTGGGCTGCAGACACCATTGGTCTCTAGCATGCACTGCCAGCTTCATCGCACGAGCTGTCCTCTGCCGTGCCCGATCTTCGATGTCAGTGGCCTTCCCTGTCCTGACATGAGTGCAGCCGGGAAGAGGCTTAAGAGAGCCGGCGAGACAAACGCTGTGTACATTGCCCATGGACGGTTCGTGACGGCAAAGCGAACTCCCCTGCTCCTGGTGGAGTGCACCAAGGACCGACATAATACTAACTGGTTAAATGTACTTCAACTTACTCCTTCAGTGTGTCTTTGTTAGTTCAAGCTTCACTTTATTCAAGCCTGAATTCAGCAATTTAATAAATAAATTTAAATAGACACCCGATTCAATTTGCTACATCCAATTTACTAGTAACTCAACTCAGTTACTGTACTGGCATGTCAATTAATTAAAGAAACATAATAATAATTAGTTAGCTTTGATCTTATTATGTGTCCTGAGCCTGACTGTCATACTGTTACTAAAAGTTACTGTAACTAGTAACAGTTTCACATCATCGAGTCTCATGCTTCACCCGTCTAGCTCCCGACCCCGACTGCAAGGACTTGAGTCGAGAGACTAAGACCGAGCCGAGTCTACTGCTAAATCACTTTATTAATAGATTACCGCACACACATACCAGGACCGGATCGGAACAGGATTCGAGATTTTGGAGTACAGCTTCACTGACAGGGGGAATGGAATGGAAGTTTAGTGAGTGGGGATACAGCAGCCCGTTAATTAATTAAATAATTAATATTAACATCAGTACCACCGGTTCCCATCGGCTTCTTAGTATTGTCTAACCACCTCTACTGAGTCTACTAAGACTCTTGACTCTAGACTCTTAGACTGACTAGTAAGTAACTAGGTACATTAATAAAGCGAATGACATTTGAATTTGGCCTCAACATATCTGTCTGATGCTTAAGTTGTATTACACAACAATTTGACAAGGAACCAGATTTCAATCAGAGTGAGTATCCTATCAGTTGCGGTTGTAATACAATTACATGTGGCTTGTCAGTCATGTCACTGGACCAGAGTCCGTTGTTACAATTGTTATTGAAACTGAACAGACAGCTTCTGTCAGGACCTCGACATGGGCATGCTGGAGGACACTCACCCGGACCACGACTTCTACCAGATGTTTTCAGAGCCTTCGGATTTCGGTTTCAGAGGCTTGTCTCGGTTTCGCACTTGGGTGGTTGGGTCACACCGGGAAAAGTCGACCTGCTTGCACGATCCCTTTGAGCTCCTGGAAGACTTGAAATCGGCCTTCAGCGAGCTTCCAGGGGCTGGGGTGTCGGATTTCCTCGTCGCCTCAGAGGCCGAGCTGCACCTGGAGGCAGCAGCCTTAGCCAGACGACGCAAGAAGGCTGTTCCGTCTCTGAAGAACTTATCCGGGTTGTTGAATGTGAGGGAGTTGTTATGCAAGCAGCAGCTGGATGACAAGTACCTAAATCAGCGGGCCCAGCACCCGAGCAGGAACCCTAACCTTGTCTACTATCTCGGTGATTCTGCTGAGTACTGCACGTGGTCAGCCAAGTCAGATAAGATCCCGACTTATCGGCTGGGAGCCCGCAGTGGTCTCTATTGGCTGCCCGGCCAGGGCAGATAGCTTACCTCGAAGGAACGATTGTGTTCGATGGGGTTCCCATGCACACATGAGACAGCAGAGGCTATGGATGTGCCCATACTTGGGGCCACAGACATCCAACGGGCATCGGATTTGTGCGGCAACAGTATGCACTTCACGAGTTGTGGCATTATGCAGCTTATCAGCTTGTCCTGCTTCGGCCCGCGCTGATTTTTTCAACTTGATGACAAGAATAATGAGAACAGACGAGGTAGTGAACGTAGTATGCCAACGTCAGAGTCAATTTGGTCAATGTGGCACAGTGACCGTGAATTTAATTTAATTCAGCAATTGCCGGCTGGCACATGTCATTAAATACCGTACAGTTCCAACATGAATGGCTTGTTTGTTACTTGAATTAAATTGAATGTTAGACTATTAAATACTAGTAAGTCAGTAGTACTAATAATAATAATAGTAAAATCACCCCTATCGGATAGTTAAGTCTAACGATGTCTCGAATCGAGTCTCTCGTCCCATAATCATAATGTGCCATACATTGTCATTGTCACTGTCATTGATTCAAATAAAATACTAATATCAGTACCCCCTAAATAAAGCCTAAAGTTAATGTTAAAGGCCCTACCAGGTAAACCGGGGCTTGAGAACTGACACATCCACCTCGACGGTCCAGCGTGGCTGCTATTTCAATTTCCTAAGTCATTAGAGTTTACAGGAGTCTCGAATCTGTATTACTGTATTATTGACCCACAATGTCACAAAGCAAACTTTAAATCTAATTAGTCAACCATAAATAATAAGCAATAAATAATAATAATACATTCAGAACTCAGAATGGTGAACCTCAATCCTTGTACAATAGATAATGCAATGACTGAAGTTGCCAAACTTTCAAACATTGATCGTGAACCCACCCTTGCAATCTTGCCAGAGCTCGAGCCCAGGGTCTGCCAGGATGACCAGGTCACCTCAATCCGTTGATCAGATCATGATCATGGCATGGGCCATAGTTACGAAACTTAGGTATTCTTATTAGTAATGATTTTAATGTATTTATTACAGACACGAGCGGTTTTCCGACACAGTTGAGCCATGTAGAACATTGACTCATTGACAATGGTTTTGCCAAATGCCTAATATAACTAACTATAATAATAATATATTTAAGTTAAATAAACAAGCTTCGGGCTTGGAAGTCCTCATCGATTGTAGTCACTTAGCCAGTAGTTGTTGTGAGCTGTGTTTATCAGTTGTCATTTATCATTGTAGTTGTAACATTGTATTCTGAAACGAAAAAATTAAAACATCAGAGGTGGGTGTATCTAAACATTTCACTAGTTTATATTATTATAAGTATACATAATATATATATATGTATATTTATTTATTTATTAATTTAAATAGGTAACCAGGTAATGGTAAATCATTCGGAGATTCGGCCTTGCAGAGTTGAGTCACTGAGCCACAGCTTGGTTCAGAAATCTGATTTCTGCCGGGGACCAAACACTTCTTGCTTTAGTGCTGCATCCTGTTCTGGACTGGATGTCTGAACTTGACTGGCTGATTGTGCCCCCGGACAGTCCTAGACCCAGTGTGCAAAACACCATGTTTAGGGGGTCTGGGTGGGGGCCTCAGACAGAGACTCAGGCGGACCCGCCAGGGAGGCCGAACAAAAATATGGGCAGCATGTCATTAGTCCTTACTATCCCATGGTCCCAATGTTCAATGATTCAATGCCTTGTATTAATTAATCGTTCTGCTCATCATAGTATCATCCGAAGATTGGTCCCATGGGAATCATAGCGACATGATGTGATCTGTGATGACCGAGCATGCTGCAAGACAGTCGTGTTGAAATGTGGCAGCTACCTGTATGGAGGTATGTATCATTGTAGACTGTGTTGCCGTTTCCATCACAAGGCGAAGTGAGCTTTATCTGTTATCCCCTCGGGTGACCTGGGCCTGGCCTGGCCTGGAAGTCAGTCAGACATGGCCTGCACCCTCTTGGACCAAGTGGGCGAGCACGGTGAAGACTTGCTGGCAGCCGAGCCAGCCCCATCCGATATCGACAACTCGGTAAGTGCTCGGGGTTCTAAGAAGCCGAAGGCTGTCAAGGAGCCCAAGGCAAGGGCCAAGAAGAACGAGGTGGCCATGCTGCCCACGTCCTTCACCTGCTGGAGGAAGGTTCCGGAGCCAGGGCTCAACTTAGTAACTTAGAAGACAACAAAATTATTTGAAAAGTCAGTTTCAAGAGGATTGAGTCTGATAGACTTACCATTACCAGATAGCCTCCGACAGACACCGTGAGTTAGATCCTCCATTATTGTTAGGTTTTATGCCATGTATCATCATTGGAATATTATAATACTATAATCATAATAATAATCGGCTAGACGAGCTGAGCTTGTAACATCGTACATTCTGCTACAGCTTCATGGGGCAGGGCCCGGTGGCCCAGACTATAATTATTATGGCGTGGAACAAGTTCAGGCTCGCGCTCAGACTCAAGTTGGGGATTCAGTGTTAAGGGCTTGGGGCAATACGTATATAAATGATAAGTTACTAAGTTATTATCATAAGAAGTACTACTTCGTAGCCCTGATGACTCGACGACGATCTGATGACATCTTGATGACTTGATGAGTCATGAATCTACAAGGATGACATAATGAGTCTGCCACAGACTCAGGCAGGTGAGATGTTCATTTAACGACGTCAAGACTTAATGAAAGTATTAATGTTGCCACTTGCACTTGCAGGTCAGGGCTAGTTGAGGGACGGGGTACTGCTGATGCGGTCAATGAGATAGACGGGTCACCAACAATACTAGGTCAACAATTGTAACTACAGCGAGGACACTAAGCCCTATGACTATGTTTTCAATTTTCCCCAATCTGACTGAGTCAACCTAGTTAGGAGCTAGAGAAGCAATACCCATGGAGTAAGCAGATACTTGGTACACTTCCAGAATACCTGCTGGTTCCCATTGAAGACCAGTTATGAAATATGAAAGTGCCGAGGACACCCACATCAAGGACTTCATGTCGCTGGCGGAGCCAACGAAGTGTTCCCTTAGTTTCCTCAACTCTTTGGGGAGCCGCACCATCCGGGCCGGCTTCTTCGGGATGTTCCGAAAGGGGCCTTCGATCGCCCTCGACACGTTCCCTTGTTGCACTAGATTCGTGTACACCTTCTCATCTACAGTTCTACATGTCACATGTCGAGAATCACAAGTTGTTAGATTCCTGCACTTGGAGTGGTTACTTGGTGCCTGTGGGCTTTCACTAAATTTGATGGTGACTAGCAGAGTATTTAGTAAGTATTCTCTTGCCGTTGCAGGAAAACGAATTAGTAAGTAAGCTAAGCAGCTCAGCACCAGTGACGTCAGCGTGGAGGTTCATGACTCGGCACACTACTACTAGTACTACTACTAAGTGTACTATTGCTACTACTGCTATTACTACTGCTACCAGTAGTGTATTACTACGACTATTACTACTACTAACTATTACTACTGCTACTTACTACTACTGTTACTACTACTACTACGACGACTACAAGAACAACAACAGCAACAACAACTCCGACAACAACAACAACAAAAACAAAAAACAACAACAAC